GAAGGTGGCCATGGTTGGCCTTAGCCAACAGAAATGGAGGGGTTGTGGGGAGGGCCCAGGAGTAAGGAAGGGTCAGCAGGGACCCCAAATACTGATTCTCCACTGGCTGGAGGTGGGCAGAAAGGAGACACACAGCTCAAATACTGAGCAGCCAGAAAAAGAAGAAGATAGCAAGAAACAGGAAGAGGGAGTCCTGCCAGCTGGAGGCCGGGTGACCCTGTCCCAGATCCACACCTGTAGGAGAAAGGAAAGCTGTGGCAGAAGCATTCACTCCAGAGCCAGGAGGGGGCCTGAGGGAATTCAGGGGGCTCCCTGGTAGGGGCTGAGGGAAGGCTCTTACCTGCACCCTGGTGGAATGGCGCATGGGTATTGAAGACAGTGGTGAAAAATCCAAAAGGAAAAGCACCAACACCAAATGAGAAGTGAAAGCCTCCAGTATCGCCAAACGGCTGGAATCCCTAAGGAAACAGATAAAGTCAGAGTGGAGCTAGGCAAGTCTTTAGCAAAGAAAGAACACAATCAGACAAGACTCACCCCCCTGCCCTCTGGAGCTGGTCGCTGGCCCTGGGGGCGAGGTGGAGTTTTCAATCTGAGGGAAAGAAGAGGGAAATCAACAGGAAATGTTCTCTCCACTTCCACACCCCTCCCCCCAGACAGGACATCTTCCACCTTCCTCAGCACCCCTCCCTCTCTCACCTGGGATCCTGGGGCTTCTGACTCCCTCGCCCATAAAGGGGGACAACCTTTTCTCTGCTAATCCCAGCTTTACACACTGGGCACTCTTGCCGCTCTGGCCGCGTCTCCAGCCACTGGGGGAAAAATGAAGTGGTTTCCAATACACAGCAGGGTCTTCCAGCTCCTCAGACCTCCCCCATTTCCCTCTTCATCTCCTCTGAGTACGCACCTGATGAAGACAGGGCCAACTGGATGGGGGGGGAGGGGGGAGAAAAAGGTCAAACTAGCTACAGGAAAGAGGGACAGAGACCCATCCTCAGATCCCACTCTCAATCCCCAGGCATTACCAGCTGTTTCTTTTCATATTTTCTACCACCTCTACTATGCCAACTTAGTCTTCCTGCTTTTCTGATCTCAAGCTTCAACCATCCTCAAAATGCTCAACCCTCTCCTCTCCCCAAAACACACACACACACACACACACACACACACACACACCCTCCTTTCTCCTTCTGACTTAATTTTCAATTCTCTGCAATCACCCCTTTCCAGTTATCCTTGCCCCCATTACTCTCAAACCAAACCCCCGTAACTAGCACCCTTCCCCACTACTTGTTTTCCTCTCTTCCAGGCCCAATAAAGTCCCTATTGCCACAATCCTTTAAACTCTCAAGCCTGTCCCTCCAAGTGCCCTTGTCACCAGGGCATACCACACCCTGCCATACCTCAGCTGAATGTGATCCCACGTTCCAGGTCTCCCCCGCTCAACTAATGCCTTCCCTATTCTCTGAGTCTAATCCGCTTCCACCTACATAGCTAAGACCCCTCTCCTCTCTGGGGTATCTGTACAGGTGGCTCAGTCTCACCTGTACAGATGTGCGGTGCCCACCCTCCCATTCCACTTCCTCTTAACACACCTTTTATGCCTCTCCTTTCCACAGGTTTCATCTGTACAGACGTGACCCTTCCACCCACACGTACCCCAAAAGACGTCTGTCCCCTCCTCGGGGTTCAATTGTAGGATCCCCCTGCCCCAGCCTCCCCCGTATAGAGGAGGTGAGCCCCACTCCTTTCACCCCCTTCCCGATTCTCACCAGTACAGGTGGCCACACACACTGATCACAGCTTCCCGAGCAGTCTCCAGACATATATTACATTCGAAGGTCGCGCTCGCCCCGCCCCGCTCGCGGTTTGTCCCTTCGGGGCCCCCGTCCTCCTCCGGGGCTGCCATGGCCAGTTCACTTTCGCTCCCCGCGTACCCCTTAATCCCCCCCCACACACATTATACAAGCCCCAACAAACAAGAAACCGCCTCCTGCTCACGATCGTTGGGGAGGCCTCAAGGTTTTTTTAATCACGATTGGTCTGAATGCCTGCCAATCACACAGGATTCAAAAGAAAGGATTGGTCCAGGGACTGAAGGTGAAAGGTTTGCGTGATCCTGCCCTTTGCACAATGATTATTGGTTTATATAGTCGCAATCAGTATGCAGTGGCAAACTGGTAACAACGCCATACGTCCTGTCGCCGGGACAGGGAAGGCTTTATTCGTCTGGGTAGCTGTCACTGATATCCAAAGGCCAGAAGCAATTGGTTCGGAACCACATAGACCTCGCCCATATAAACCGCTTTCTTTCCTTCACTTCCGCTTTCTGAGACTGTACGGATTCCTATTGGACTTTGGAGCTTATGGCTTCAAAGCAATTGATTGGCTAGAACGCGACGGAAAAATGGTGGTTAAGCAAAATGCGCGTGTGCAGCAGGCGGCGGGAAGGGGTGGACCAATCATGTGAGGGTTGAGCATTCTCGAGGGCCTCATCCCTTCGCCGCTATACTGTCGCCATGGTGACTGTTCTACCATTGGTTGGGTTTGGGGGGGTTCAAAGGCTCGGCTCAGCCTCATCCGGGTGTGGCCTCTCTGTCCTGATTGGTTCGTTCCTTTCGCCCCTAATTGGCCGAGATCGGAAAAGACAGCGAAGAGCTCGGAAAAGAGGGCAAATACTAGGGTCGCAGGGTCCAAAATGGCTTCGGCCTCCTTCGGTGACGTAGAGAGCAAAACTTGGGTCCGACCCTCCCTCTTAGTGAAGAAGGGACAACTGGGATTAGCCCGACGTTTGGACTGTGCGAGCATCGGCTTGCGGCTCTGGTGTTAACCCACCTCCCTCGGCTGGACGACTCAGCCCGCTCCTCTTTAGGTGATTTTCAGAGCAGAACTAAACTAAAGGCCCATCCGTTTTTTAAGGGACTCGTATAACAGTTGAACTCGACTCCTTTTAAACCTTAATAGCAGAGAGGGCCTAGCTCCACCCCCTTGTGAGTGGGTGCAGAAGGGGCAATTACCCGCCCCCTTCCGAGACGACCCGCGCGGAATGGGGTTAGGCCCGCCCCTTCCTTGTAAAATGTCCTGGAGAACTGGGGTCTTCCTCATGGGCTGGACCCCTGGGACTTAGGCAAGCTGCTTCAGATCTCGGGATTTTCTTACGAGTTTGGGCCTTTGTTCTTCAGTCAGTGACCCTCATTGTGGCCCGAGGAGCAGAACTAGGTAACACTCCTCCCACTACCAGTGCTCTTTACATCTCCTTCAGAGCCTGTAAACTCACGGCAACGGTGTGTCGGGACGGGGCAGACACGGGCTGAGGGCAGTTTAGCAACAACCTTGTAAAAGCAGGGGAAGTGAGGGTTCAGGAGTTCTGTAGAAGTGTAGGGGAAAAGTATTTCAGGAGAGGTGGAGACCAAGGAAGAAGTAGTGATGGAATGGTCCTGGTAAAGGGATAGTGGGAGTATTGGGAGCACGGGCTGGAGACGAAGCTAGGTACAGGGCTACAAAATTAAGGAGGCATACTTATCCCAGAGAAATCAGCGTTCTTCCTCAGTATTTTTTTTCCCAAGGAAACAACGCTAATGCCCAACTTCCAGTGTAAGAATAGATGCACCCAGATTCTGTGTTGGGGAGAGGGGTTGTCTCAGCTTGGGTAAGTAAGGAAACTAATAGGATGGAACTAGAAAAAGTACTGAGGTTAAAGAGCACGGAGAGACGGGCGGGAAAAGGGCCTGATAGTATCCTTTCTCTTTAAAGAGGCGGGGGCAGGGGGAGTTGGACTGCTGGGAGGTAGTGAGGGGACAAAGGACAGAGACCACACTAGAGGGCTGGGAGGTGAGGTGAGATGAAATGGAGCCCTGGAGGGACAAAAAGAGGTGAAGGACTCTGCTTGGCCTATGGTAGATGCTTGATAAATATTTGGAATTGAATGGGGGTCCAGGAAAGGGGGTCTTGGAAAAGAGTTGGAGGGAATAAGCAGCAGCAGATATGCGAACTAAGGAGAAAGGACGAAACCAAGAAAAAGTGACAGGAGAACTGACGAAGGCTGAGAAGAAATAGGACAAGAAAGGAGTACGGCACGTATGGACACACATGTCGTGTTTGCTGAAAGGGAGTTTTATGGAGGAAAAAAGATGCAGCTGCATCCAGAGGACTGAGACTGGCAGAGCCCAGCTGTCTTCGAGCTGAGCTAGCGCGAGGAGACTGGTAGACGTAGGAAGGCGAGGCCTAGGTGCCTGGGAGGCGATTGGCCAAACAGGCTGTCCATCACCGCCCCCTACTTCCTGACCAGCCCCGGAAACCAGCAGGCGTTGGGGAGGGGTAGGGGAGATAGCGGCGGCGGCAGCAGCCCAAGCCCTCAGACAGCAGGAAGGGAGGGAGGGAGCTGGGGAGACAACCCCCAACCACTCCTACCGCTATGGGCCCAGACTCCCACTCTCACCTCCCCTCCATCGGCCGGGGCTAGGATACCCCCAAATCCTATCGTGCCCTTGGCACCGACACCCTGACCGAGGCAGAGACACAGCCACCCATCACCACCGCTGCCGAAGCCTGGCTGGGGAGGGGGCCACCTTCTTAGGCCCCCCTCCCCACTGAGGTGGGGGCAGGAAAGGGAGGGGGCGGGGAGGGTGCTGAAAGGGACACGGAGGAGAGGGTGGGAGAGAGATTGGGTCTCGGAGGGCGGACTGGGGAGCGGGTTGTTGGGAAAAGGACCGACTGGGGGGAGAGGGCCTGAAAGGGAGAAAGGATGGAGGAGACAGGGGGAGGAGAGGCGGAGACCCTGTGAGTTGGGGATGGGGCGTGTACAGGGAATCCTGGAGAGAGAATTCCTACACCTTCCCCAATTCCTTTCTTTACCCTTTGGCCTCACCTGACTCTTGGGGGTTGTCACTGGGAGAAGATGGTTTATTGCCCTTCTTCCCCAGCAGAATTTGCTTCCTAGGAATGCCCCTGGACAGGTCTGTTTCCATCCAGGCATAGAGCCTCTTGTTTTTCAGTGGCCGTCTGCACTGCTAGACCTTACTGACACTCAGATGCCTTTTGGGGGCCATGTTTTCTATGTTGAGTCTGTGTACCTTTGACATAATTAATGGCTGTGTGCAGCTAGGTTGTCCAATGCTCTCAATGGGCTATGGAGAAATAGTGTGTTATTTTCCATCAGAATTGCCCATTCTTATATCTTACGTCCATGTCTCACATCTGTCTTGACATATTCAAGTGTGTGTTTTCATGTACATATTGCACCTATTGTTGATTTCATATTTCTTGCACATGTTATGTTTCTGCATGTTTACTTGAGCATGTAGAGATTATACTTTGTTTTCTTGGGCTCACATGTTCTGTCCATGGTCCCACCATATGCAGCGGTCTTCATGTGTGGGACCCATGGCCTATCTGACTAGCACTTGCTCCCTTTGTGAGCTGCATGTTTTCACAGTTAGGGTTCACTCTGCACATATGCATGCCCCTTCGCATGATATGCTGATGTGCCATGTTCAAAGCATGTGTGCTTATGGTTACACATTACTATTTCTTAATTTTATTTGACAGTATATCTTGGGAGCCCTGTGCTCATTAACTCACTTGGCACTCCATTGTGTTTATAAATTCTTAGATATTTTTTCTCCAGAGAGGACACTTACTATTACCTATTAGAGTGGGTAACTGAGCCTCCATCTCCCCAAAGAACCAAGCCTTGCCTTGCTGACCTCTCTGGCCTGTGTGTCTTCCCACACATTGTCTCTCTAGTGGCTGTGTACAGCCTGAGGTCACGGAGCTCAGTGCATGCCGCAGGGTCAGCCCTGCCATGCACATTACCTGTCCCTAACTCTGCGCTGTTGGCATGTATTTGATGATGGCAGCATCTTTCCCCCTAGCATGTTAATCCCCATTCTGTATGTTTCTCTTGTGTGTACGATAGTATGTACCATCTTGATTGTTGTCACTCTACTTTCACTGTGGCCAGGTATCAAATGTATATATTGAGGGTAGCTTACTGTTAGGCTTGGTGTGTTCACTGTTCTCCCAGTAACTTTTCATAGTTAGTAGTCCTCAAGAGAGTAGCTATCTTAAGTTGAATCTTCATCTCTGTCATTCATTATGCTTGTGTGGGTTATGTACACAGCCTTATGGTCTGGTCAGCAAATGTTTATGAGCCCTTCTCTGCCTCCTTTTGTCATGGGCATTGGGGATAAGACAGAGTCCCTGTTCTCAAGCTGCTTATAGACTAGAGAGGAAAACAAAAATGACAGTGAGCAGTTATACGCAGTAGTGTCAAGATCAGTGGATTTCAAACTCACCAGGAAGGCATATTAAAATACAGATTAATGGGCCCAATACCCAAAATTTCTGATCCAAGCGATCTGGGTGGGGTCCAAGAAGTTGCATTTTCACACTTCGAGAACCAGTGATTAAGATAAAAGTGTAATGAAAAATCAGGCATGGAGGGGTTCAGGAAGACCTCCAACATGTGACACTGAGCTAAGTGAGGCGGGTGAAGGGGGTGGGAGGGCATTCCAGCCAAAAGGAACAGAATGTTCATGGCACAGAAGCCTGAAAGATCATGGTGTGTCTTAGGAACTGAAGTAAAGCAGTTTGGGGTAAAGAAGTGTTTGTGGGCATGTGGCGGAAGATGTAAGCAGAAGTCAACTTGTCAAGGAGGGCCTTTAGGCAAGACAGGGATATGCCCAGATCTGTATTACAGAAAAATCTCTGGTTGCCATGTGGAAGAAGAATTGGAGGGGGAAAGTGAGGAGCCTATTGCAAATAGTCCAGGGGGAGGAATGTTGCTCCAAACTTGCAGAGGCAGTGGGATGGGGCCGCTCCAGAGCCTACCATTTTAGTTAGAGCAGGCAGAGACTCCTATTTCCTCTATTGCCTGTTACCTTTGCTCTTGGCAATGGGCTTAACTTTGAGCACAGCCCTTCCCGTCATTGGAAAGGTGTGTCTTTGGCCTTGATGTCATTTGCCTGAATGTTTTTGTGAATTGTGACCGTGTCCCCAGAAGTGTGGCAGCAGAATGGAGGAAGGAGGAACAGCCTGGAAGGCAGGTTCTGGGTGCGTGCCCATCTTCCTCCTGAGCCCTTCCCTCTCCCAGGGCAGGTGGCGTGATATCCCTTTTACTCTCTGCCCTCTTTTTTTTCACTTGGTGAGACCTTACCCTCCGTACCTGCCTGACCAAACTGCCTCTGATGTCGCTAGGAGGGAGGGAAGAAGTGGTGGGATTCCCTTGCCTGTCTGTGGAAGCAGGATTGATAGATGTAGTTACTCCTGGTATGTCCGTGGCTTTATCTGGAACAAGGGAGGCTGCCTGGGTGGAGAGGGATTTTTCTAGGTATGCATTTCTAATCTTTCATCTGTCACTGAATGTGATTATAAATTTGTGTGTATGTGAACTAGTCTGTCTTTGTGTGCCTGTGTTTGCAGAGTGACAGAGCCTTTATTCTTGCCAGTCAGCCCTTGAGAATGTCTGTGGGCATTTTGTGACTTTTGTGACTTTCACTGTATCTGCTGTGTGTGCACCTATGTATATGCATACAGGCGGCAGTGTGACTGAGTGGTTAGGGGCACAAGCTGCTTAGGTTGAAAACTAGGAGGTGCCTCTGAGGAGCCATATCACCTCAGGTAAGTTATTTAACCTCTCTGTGCCTGTTTCCTATAAAATGTAAAGTTTGTGGTTTAATATAGTATATAGGCCACCCTTGTCTAGCACAAATGTAATGCAAGCCACAAATTTAAATTTTTTGGTAAAAAATAGGAGGGTGAAATTAATTGTAATATACTCTTGAACCCAAAAGTTTGTAATTTCAAAATGTAATCAATATAAAAGGTTTTCATTCAAAGTTTTTGAGATCTGATGTGTATTTTACATTTCCAGCACATTTCAATTAGGACTAGGCCACATTTCAAGTACTCAGTAGCCTTATGTGGCTGGCAGCTGCTGGGTTGGACAGCGCAGGTGTAAACCCTTATGAGATACTGCTACTGTTTGCTCTCCTCTCTTTTTTTATTGTTGTCCTTTTATCATCACACATCTGTGACTTGTGGATGTGCATGTCTCATGTCTCTTGTGTATCTAAAGATATCTGGAGCCTTCAGAGAACGGTGTGGGAGACCAGTCCCAAGCTCCCCACTGCCTCCACCCTAGAGAGGGTTTCAGTGGGACCCCTGGCCCCATTCTGTGTCTCCTGCCTTCTGTGCTTCATCTGCCCCACCCAGTGCAGGAATCAGGCCCACTGTCCCTCACCCTATCCCCGCAGGTAACCAGAATGGAGCTGTGGCCAGGGGCATGGACAGTGTTGCTGCTGCTCTGCCTGCTACTGCTCTTCCTGCTGCCCACCCTGTGGTTCTGTAGCCCCAGTGCCAAGTACTTCTTCAAGATGGCCTTCTACAATGGCTGGATCCTCTTCCTGGCTGTGCTCGCCATCCCTGTGTGTGCTGTGCGAGGACGCAATGTCGAGAACATGAAGTGAGGGCCAGGGGTGTTGGATGATGAGGGAACCTGAGGGCTGGAAGCGAGCAGTGGATGGGGCAGGCATGCGGTGTGTAGGAGAGACTGAGTTGAGTTCAGGGACAAGGAAGGGGAGAAGACTTCAAAGACACCCAGAAAGAAGGGAGGGTAGGAGGGAGCTGAGGCATATAGGTGAGTGTTGGTGGACCCTGCTGGAACCGCTTGCCATGACAACCCCATAGGATCCTGCGTCTGATGCTGCTCCACATCAAATACCTGTATGGGATCCGAGTGGAAGTACGAGGGGCTCACCACTTCCCTCCCTCACAGCCCTACGTCGTTGTCTCCAACCACCAGAGCTCCCTCGACCTGCTTGGTGAGGCCCTCCTAGAACACACCTCCCCCAACCATGCCCTTCCTCCTGGAACCTTCCCCAGAATCTTCTCTTTTGGAGTTGCTCACCTTTCTCTCGTAAGCAGGATGGTAGACCTTTAGTCACCCTTCCATCCACTCAGTACTTCCCTGGCCCTGCCCCCCAGTCTCCTCTTCCTTTATATCCAGGCCCTAGTAGACCTGTGTGAGGTGGGCCGCCTCCACCTTGATGCTCACCCCACCCCACCTGTGCCCAGGAATGATGGAGGTCCTGCCTGGCCGATGTGTGCCCATTGCCAAGCGGGAGCTACTGTGGGCCGGCTCTGCTGGGCTGGCCTGCTGGCTGGCTGGAGTCATCTTCATCGACCGGAAGCGCACTGGGGACGCCATCAGTGTCATGTCCGAGGTCGCCCAGACCCTGCTCACCCAGGACGTGAGTCACCCTGGGAGCATGGGGGGTATGAAGTTGAACAGTTGTAAAGGTACTGATAAGCAGGGCCAGAAGATTACTCAGAAATCCCATTACAGCATCACAACTCTTTTTGCACCCCTTCCATACATGTATGTCTTCCTTGACCCTCTTTCTTCCCCAGGTGCGGGTCTGGGTTTTTCCTGAGGGCACAAGAAACCACAATGGCTCCATGCTGCCCTTCAAACGCGGTGCCTTCCACCTTGCAGTGCAGGCCCAGGTGATGACTACTTTTCCTTCTGCCGACCCCCTGCACCAGCCCCCCACTGTCCCTTCCTCTCCCACAAAGACTTGTCATGGGGGTCTCAGAAGAGATCATGGGCTGATCACTTTCCCCCTTCCCCAGGTCCCCATTGTCCCCATCGTCATGTCCTCCTATCAAGATTTCTACTGCAAAAAGGAGCGTCGTTTCACTTCTGGTGAGGGCTCTGAGCAAATCTGGGGGTGGGGGGCCAGAAAGGTCATGGCAGATGCAGAGGGTCATCCCTATAAGGCAGGATCAGTCTGTCAGAGTTGCGAGATATCCACAGGATCATCGGCCAATAAGTATTAAGCACCCACCATACCCCGCTAGTTAGGTAACATTTGGTCCCTTCAAGAGAGGCCATCACTATACTGCAGGAAAGATAAGGCCTCTGTGTGCAAAGCTGTAACACTGAGCAGTAAACCCTAAATCTAGGCAGTGGGGGCTGGAAGGGTCCCATGTCTAGACTGGGGTTTGAGGAAGGCTTTATGCAGGAGGACCGCAAGGAACGGATAGCACCTGGCAAGCAGAGAGGCAGTTGTCCAGGGTCAGAGGAAGAGCACTAAAAGGTTGAGGGGAGTAGCTTGAGAGCTCAGAAACTGGGCCCAAGCTGTGGGCAGAGTCCTGGGCAGACAGGCCCTGACTGTGCTCATCCCCTTCGCAGGGCGATGTCAGGTCCGAGTGCTGCCCCCAGTGCCCACAGAAGGGCTGACACCAGATGACGTCCCAGCTCTGGCTGACAGAGTCCGCCACTCCATGCTCACTGTTTTCCTGGAAATCTCCACTGATGGCAGGGGTGGTGGTGACTATCTGAAGAAGCCTGGAGGAGTGGGCGAGACCCAGCTCTGAGCTCCCTTCCCATCTACCCACCTTCCTCCACACACCTCCCAGCCCAGTGGGTTGTGAAGCAGGGCCAAACCCTCTTCATTTCCCCTCTCCCTACTCCATGACCTCTTTGGAATCTTCAGCTTCTGAAGTGAATGTCTCTGCCCACCCCAGCTCTCCCCATGGAGTCTCCTGCCTCGGTGCAGTCTCCACTCTGACCCTTACCCACTCCTGTGCCATCGTGTCTGTGAGACGGTTGCCTCCCCCTCATCTTCACTGGGCCAGCCTACACAGAGGCGGGAGCACTCCATTCTGTCCCCATTGGACCTTCTTCCTTTGTGGTCTTCTCCTTCTCCACCCCAAATTGACCAGTGGACTCGTCCATTTTGTGGAACAATTTCCCACCCTGACGTCCATGGATTCAGTGGATTCATTGTGAGGAGGACTCCTCGTGCTGTGCCTGGAAGCTGGTGCCTGGAACGCTCCTCCCAGGCTCTTCCTGGGAATACTCCTCAGCACCTTCACCCTCCTTCCGCGTGGAGCCTCCTTTCAGTGGAGGCTGGACTCTTCTCACTCAGAAGTCTCATCCCTGCCTACGCCCAGGTGCCCAGGAGTGAGCACTCTTCTGGATGCCAGTTTGGTCTTCACATTTCTGCTTCCCCTGTCCCCATGGTACATTTCTTCTGTGGCCCTGGCCCCACCCATCCTCCTGCAGCCCTGATACACCATTCTAACCAGACAAGGAGCAAGAGGCAGCCAGCAGGTGCTGTACTCACTGCTCCCTAGAGGGCTGGGGGGGAAAGCACTGAACCCTGGCTGGAGGGGATGGCTTTAATTTATTTCTTTCTTTTGAGATTTCCCCCCTCTGAGCCAGTTTTCATTTCCTGCCTGTGGCATTAGCCTCTCCCTGCCTCCTATCCCAGACCTGTGCCCACAACAGGGAGAGGCTGGGAACAAAAGGAGAGGGTGGGACTTAGTTTTATGTAATTGGTTTTTATTAATTATCTGGATAACAGCAAGGAACCAGAATAAAGATTGAGAGATCTGGACACTACTGTGTTTGGAGTTGAAGAAGCTGTTCCCAGCTCCCAGGCAGTCTGCGCCAGCTGGAAGACTCAGGGGGGCCCCACCAAGACATTGCTCCTAAGCAGCAAATTACCTTATCTACCACCACCACCCCCCACCCCCTCGCTGGTGAATCCCAAAGAACTGGAGTGGTTCCAGTTTCTGTATGAATTAGGGGGCAAGGGGTTCTGCAGAGGTCCTCACTGATGCCCGCTGAGGACTGGGTCCAGGCTGTTGTCCTCACAGGAGCCTGGTTAATGACAAGACAGGTAGACATGTTGGCTGTGGACTGCCTCCAGCCTGGAGGAGGTCTGAGTACTGGGGAGACTGACATTCTCACCCAGCAATAAGTGAAACCACTAGGTTGCGGTCGGTGCCAGAAGGGGTGGTGAACTGCGGATATACGGGGGCGGTACGGGGAAGGTGAGTACTGGGGCCGGGTTTTGGGAAAAGAAACTGAACTGGGTAAAGATGGGGGCAGTTGTTGGGGGATGGAGGTCCCAGCAGAGAGGGGCATGAGGACTCACAGGCACCTAGCCTCTCCTCCAGTAGCAGCACCTGGTCGCTGAGAGACTCTATCCTGTCGCCCCAGCCCCACAGCTCTGCCACCTGTTCCGGCTGCAGGTCTTTGGGAGGCATGGGCAGCACCGCTGGGACCCAGGCCCTGGTCCACCTGGCCCACTGCAAAGGAAGAGATGCCTCGGGGTGTTGGGGATGGGGCATGATCGGTTCGGCCCAGGTACCCAGTCTCACCTGCTCCAGCCGTTCCAAGCGCCCTCGCAGCTCACGGATCTCCCTCTTCAAGGCACGCTCATCCTGCTCCACTTCTGTTTCCTGAGCTGGGACCAACGAGGGCGTGACCACTGACTGCCCGGGCCCTGCCACTGGCCTGGCTTTTCCCGCGGCCCACACTCCCACTGCTCACCGGTCACACTAAAGATGCTGGCACTAGTTGGAGGCTCCCGGGAACCCCCTGCGCAGGTGCGCCTGTCTGGGCCCAGCACCAGGCCGTGCGGGCAGTCACAGACGAAGCTGCCCACCGTGTTTAGACAACGGTGAGAACAGAGAATGACGCCAGTTCTACATTCATCCACATCTAGTTAGCCAAAAGAAGAGGGGGCTTAGGGGGTGGGGCGGCACCCGGGCGGGCAGGGAAGGCCCAGCGCCACCGTGGGGTAGGGCAAGCCAACTCACCCACGTGACAGTGCCTCCCACCCCAGCCAGGGGCGCATTCGCACTGGTCAGGCCGAATGCAGACGCCTCCGTTCACGCAGGGCTTAGCACAGATTGCTATGGGCGCAGAAAGGGCCGTTTGGAACAGGGCGGCTGGCTTCCTAACCCTGGGGACATACCTCCCTGAGTCCCAGGAAGAGCCAGCCTCACCTTCATCACAGGTGAGCGCCCCTGGATGACGCTTCTTCCAGCCCTGGCAGCACACGGCATGTGTCTGCTGCACCTCCCGCCTCACCTCCCGCCACGCCACACGGTAGGTGGTCCTGGAACACAGTGTCTGACTGTGGACCCTGTCATGTGGATCCTGGTTGGGGTTCTTGGGGTTCCTCTTGAAAGACTCTGGAATCCAAGCTCTCAGCTCCTCACCTGTACATGCTGCAGACGCGCCTTCCAGCACACAGGGTAAGGTAGGGCTTATACACTGGTTGGCTATAGGACTCGTTGTAACGCAGTGGTACCACCAATGTCTGCTTGGAGCAGACTCCCTGACTGCATCCATGCAGGAGAAGGCAGAAGACATTGAGTGAGCCAGGCCCTGGGGAGCATGGAATCCTAGATCCCTCTAGGCTCACTGAGGCCCAGTGGGACAGCCTCACTCCCATTCTAAACTTTGTTTTGCTACCTCTGAAGACCCACCCCCAGGTTTCCTTAAGATCTCACCCTGTCCCAGCCCCCTCTATTGTCACCTCTCTTTGAGGGATCCACCCTTGGACCCTTTGCCTGACATCAGTAGGAGGAGGAATGAGAGTCCGCCTAAGACAGTGCACAGCTCAGCCCTGGACCCCATGATTCTCCTTGACTTCAGACTGCCCTGTCGGCTGCAGGCAAGAAGAAATTAATAATGGCCCTTCCCTCCCCTATTTACTTCTCCAGCTGTTGCCCCTCCAAAGCAGTCTGCGGATGCCCTCTAAGAGTGACAGGACATTCATTTGTACACACTTTCACTAGTCACCAGGATTGCCAACACATGCGCACATATTTACTACCAGCACCCTTCTTTTAGCATGCCGTGGTCCATGCAGCACCATACAGGCTCACACTCCGACACACTCCCTCCCTTCCTTCTACATACAGAGTTAACCCTCCCCTCATGACTCTCCAAGCTCTAACATGCCCTCTTTCTGCCTTCAAAACCTCAAGTATTCACCACTACGCCCCCTCCCTCCTTGCACACAAACCCACACACCTGGAAACTCCACACTTTACACACATTCCTACTACCTCACACACCCACACTATCACATACACCTCTTACCCAGACAACACCCCCAACTCACAACTCACTCTAAGGCTCTGGATGACCCCCCCATTGACACTCTCTTCCCACCTGCCTTTCCCTCTCTCCCGGAAACTTCAGGCCACCAGCCTCAGCAGCAGCAGCTCAGACTGGTGAGTAGGCCGGCCTGCTGCAGAGAAGAGGGGCTGGGCCACAGAGTCCTCCCATTCCTGCCCCCTCCCACAGTCCGCCCCCACAGCCCCAGCTTGGTCTGCTCAGTGGGGTCCAAGTCCTACTACCTTCACCCCACCCCAGCAAAGGGCCCCCTCGAAGTATCTTCCAAACGTGAAGCCCCTTATTTCTGGAACCCTCCCCAAATCGGCAGAGCCTACTGGCTACATAACACCACCAGTACCCTTGGCCCTTGCCTCCCCCTTCAACCCAACACAGAGTCGGGGAGAAATGGGGAGCAGGGAGAGGGAGCTGGCGGAGAACAAATGGGGTCAGATGACAGGGGAAGAGGCAAGATCAGCTGAGGAAAGAAAGCAGGGGAAGTCATCACAGAGGGGCAAGGAGGCAACCCAGGGCACTAAGAGGAAAACTGACGCCATTTCTTGATGACATTTATCAGGGCCTGGCAGGGGGCAGGGCACAGTTGAGTCAGCCACCACCCTCTGTGCGAGAGCAGACAGGGCCCTATTGTCTCTACCAAAATTCTTCCTTTCAAGGAAGAGGAGGCTCATTGTCCAGCCCCTCATGCAGCTCTGGCCTGCAAAGGTCATTAAGAGGCTCAATAAATGCCCACCCTGACCCTAGCCCCCTCATCTAGCCTGGGGGTAGCACGGACATTTCTATCCGTGAAGCTGAAGCATAAACCACTGGAGGGAGCCCTGGGCTCAGCCTCCTAATCTTAGGCTGAGACAGAAAGAGAACTGTCCTCAGCAGGAAAGAACCCACAGAGAATCAGGAAGCCACACAGAATGGGCATTGAAAGAGCAGAAACACCAAGAAGGCCCCACCCCAAACCAGGCATCTGGGCACCCAGGCCTCAGGCTCTCCATTTCCACCCATCTTGGGGAACCAGGTCCCCCTCACCTGGAAATGAGCCAAGCCACATCGAGGAAATGGAACTTTATTTCCATAAATACTGGTGTAACACCCACTCAAGGGTAGCTAAAAGGGGGGCTGGGGCCTCAAAGAAACTAGGCTCCCAGGGGGTACCCCAACACTGGACATAGGGACTGGGGGATCCCCAAACCTGAGATGGGCCTTGCAGGCCACAGATATTCCCCAACACTGACACTTCAAGAATGGAACTGTCCCCATAGGGGAGCCTCAGGACCTACTCTCATGGGTAGTTCTTCCTGGGCATGGGAGAGCTTATGACAAGGGAACATGGGAGAACAGAAGCTAAAAATGTCCTGAGCAGACTGGAAGGAGACCTCTGTTGTGGGCAGGCTGGGTTCCTCTCCTGCACAGCCAGAAACAGAGGAGCGGCCACAAATTAAAAACCTGGTTTCTCACTTCCCCACCTCAGCCTTGGGAGGATGGGAGAGCGTGGAACCACCCTGAACTGAATACATGAAGTGGAGGAGACCAAGATGTGTCATTCACAGAGCAGAGGAGGGGGTCCCGGGAGCCCTGGTTGGTGGTGGCAGTGTGTGAGCAATGACATGGTCACAGGCGAAAAAGAGCCCGACATCTGCTTTCCAAGGCCACCACTTGGTCTCTAGGCCAGGGAGTTCCTAGAGGATCCCTGAGGAGGTCCTCAGGAGAGCCAAGGTTCAATGCAGGTCTCATAAAGGGTGTGGTTGGAGTGCCAGGCTGTGTGGGCAATCCCAGCCATCGGACACCTCACTATGGCCCCCCGGGCCAAGAGAGTCTTCAACCCAAAAGAATCCCGAAGGTAAACCTTTGAGGCAGGTGAAGAGACATGGAAGAAAGACAGAGAGAGAGACAAAGTGAGTTCCTGCTGGTGTCTCAGGCCCCCTCCCCAAGGGTGAATCCTTCAGCTCATGGGTCAGTAGCAGGGAGGGCTACAGACTGAGCTGGGACAGGGCATGAAGAAATCCCAGAGACTTACCAGTTGCTCCTCCATCTCCAAAACCGTCTCATTTTCATCATAGAAACCAAAGAAGCTACAAAGAGATGGGGGTGGGCCGTTATCAGGAGAGCTGGAGAAAATCAAAATATTTAACTGGACATCATGTACCCCATGAGGTGATGCACTAAGGATACAGCATCACTTCACTGAATTCCCATCAAAAATGTGTAACCTGAATAGAAAATAGCCAACAAACACAAACTGAGGGACATTTTACAAAATAGCTGGCCCAAATGCTTCAAAATGTCAATGTCCTGAACAGAGACTGAGGAAGTATTCCAGATTTGAAGAGACATGAAAACTAAATGCAGTACATGATCCTGGGTTGTATCTTGCACTGGAATTTTTTCTAAAAAGACAATTGAAAAAGTGCAAATAGATCTATAGAGTACCATGACAACAAACTCACAACTATCAACATCTGAACCTAAAAAACATAAACAAAAACTAAGCAAACAATTAGAACAGGAACAGAATCACAGAAATGGAGATCACATGGAGGGTTATCAGCAGGGAAGGGGAGAATAGGGGGAAAGGTGCAAGGGACAAGAAGCATAATAGATAGGCACGAAATAGGTGGGGGAGGTTAAGAATAGTATAGGAAATGGAGGAGCCAAAGAACTTATATGTACGACCCATGGACATGAGCTAAGCGGGGGAGGGGGGGCGGAATGCGAGAGAGTGGGGGGATAAAGGGGAGAAAAAAATTGGGACAACTGTAATAGCATAGTCAATAAAATATACTTAAAAAAAATCTATAGAGTACCAAAGCAATGTTAATTTCCTGATTTTGACAATGGTATTGCAGATATGTTTAAAAATAAAAAAGGCCCTGTATGTAGGAAATGTACACTGGCATACTCACGTATTAAGGGTAAAGAGACATTATGTCTACAACCTACTCTCAAATCATTCACACACTATGTATATATAGAGAATGCTAACATGGACATGGTAAAATGTTAACATTTAAGAAAACTAGGAGAAGAGTATACAAGATTGCTTTGTACTACTTTGGTAACTTCTTAGGTATGAAATTATTGGGAGAGCCGTCAGGACACACAGACCTGGATTTGCACTCCAGCTCTGCCACACACACTCCCACTGTGTGCAGCTGAGCATGTTACTTCTTCTCTTTGTCCTGTGTAAGAAATACCTCCTTTGTAGAAAGGAAGTAAAACATTGTGGTTAACAGAGAGCCTGACATTACCTGCTTACTAACTCTATGGATATAAGCAAGTTTAATCTTTGCACCCAAGTTTCCTAAAATGTGAAGTGAGGATAATAGTAATTACCCATAGAATTGTTTTGAGGATTAAATGAACTTTATTTGAAAAATACGTAGAACAGAACCTTGGGACAAAAAGTGCTATATAACTGTGAGTTATTATTACCTTCATAGGGTTGTTGTAGATCTGAAATGAGATATAAATAAATCCCATCTCTTACTTTTCTTATAAGGGGTGTTACTCCTTCACTCAAAACCCTCTAATGCTTTCCCGTTTTACTCAGAATAACAAGTCAAGGGTCGTGGTTGCCAGCAGCTGGGGGAGGCAGGGCTGAGGAGTTAGTCTTAATGAGTATGGAATTTCAGTTTGGGAAGAAAAAGAAGTTCTAGAGATGGATGGTGGTGATGGTTACACAATAATGTAAATGTATTCAATGCCACTGAACTATACATTTAAAAATGGTAACTTTTATGTTGTGTATATTTTAGAAAAAAGAAGTAAAGGGCCTTATTTTGCCCTACAAGAACTCAACATAATGGCTCCCTGCTGCCTCGTCCACCCTCCTCTCCCCCTCCCTCCCCAGCCCCCGGCACCTGCGGGCCTCCTCGTCCCTCTCCTCCCTCTCACGGGCCCAGGGCTATGCAGGTGCTGTCCTCCCATCACACTGTTGCACAACTCCCTTCCTCATTTCCTTCCTCGGCTCAAAGGACAACTCTTCCAGGAGGACTTCTCTGGCCACTATCTAAAACAGGCTCCCAGTCATCCTGTAAGCCCTTCCCCCGTTATTTTATTACTACCTGACATTTACTTTTATATCTATTATCTGTATCCCCCACAAGAATGTAAGCTACATAACAGCAGAAACTTCTCTTTTATTGACAGGGCCCAGAACAGTGCCATGGCACATAGTGCTCAATGAGTGACTAAGTAGATCAGGTAACATTTCGTGTAACTCATGATGATCTGTAACGGAAACAGGCGAATAGTGCCATGGAGACCTGGATTTTCCTGAGGAATAGGATGGAAAGGATGAATATGGAGGCAATCACAGTAGTCGAGTTAAGTAAAAGAGGTGATAGGAAGTGGATTAAAATAGCATGGAACTATCTAAATGTATTGTGCCAAAGTCAATTTCCTGGTTTTGATATTGTGCTATAGTTACATAGGGCGCAACCATTGGGGAAACTAGGTGAAGGATACACAGGACCTCTCTAAACCACCTTTGCAACTTCCTATAAATTTGTAATTATTTCAAAGTTTAAAGTTTTTACAAAACCAGGGTGGTACGGATGGAGAGGAAGTAGAATGAGCAAGACGTAGTGACTTGCTAGATACGGGGTGGAGGATGACTCCCAGGTTTTGGTCTTGGCTGAAAGGATACATGGAAGGCAGAGGGGAGGGGGTGTGCATTAACAGAACAGTGCAACCAGTTTTAGGCATGAGATGAAGATTGGTGGGGATTCGAGGGTATCCTTAGCCAATCTTCAGGCCACACTGTCCCTTATTACCTGGACTGCCAGGGGGTAATAACACCATCGTCAGGGCCCCCAATCAGCACCATGCGGCCCACACGAAGGAAGTTCTTGCGCCATGCTGTGGGTTGGAAGAAGACAGCCTGAGTCAGTCACGGGGGTCAGGCCAGGCTGGAGAGGGGAACACAAGGGATCAGCAAAGCAGAAAATGGAATGTAAGTAGAAGCCTGGGGTCTTACCAGTGGCATTGGGATGGTCTCTTTCCCCATTGATCAGGGCCAGGAAGCTGCTGGCATTGAGGTACAAGTCATCGTGGTGGGGATCTGGGTACAAAGAGCAAAGAGAAAAATAGAGAAGCAGGGAGAGGAGGCAAGACTGGAGATTAGAAGACCAAACAGGAGGCTACAGTAAGAGACAAGGTCAAGAGTAATATAATGTAGCAACAATAATAATTGTAAACATGATGGCAAACACCTTTATTTAGCCCCTAGTATAAGCCAGATACTGTTCAAAGTATATTGTATTCATTAATGTATTTAGTCCTTAGAACCACCCTACAAGGTAAGTACTATATTATTATATTACAGATGAGGAAAACTGAGTCACAGGAAGGTTAAGTAATGGCCAAAGTCACCCAGCAGGGTCAGACTTCAAACCCAAGTAGTCAGCATCTATGGTCTTTTGCACTAGGCCCACTGCTTGTTTCTGTAAATAAAGTTATATTGGAACACAGACACACTCATTATTTACATGTGGTATATGGCTGCTTTCATACTACTGTACCAGAATTGAGTAGCTGTGACTATATGGCCTGCAAAACTAAAAATATTTACTCTCTGGCTCTTTAAAGAAAAAGTTTGACCACTGCACCAGACTATACTTTCTGAGACGCTAGGTGATATACATAAGACATTTTGAACAGTGCCTGTTGCATGGCTGGTGCGGCTCAGTGGATTGAGCACTGGCCTGCAAACAGTGCCTGTTCACAAAGTAAGTGCTCAAAAAATAAATTTATCACCATTATTATTGCTGTTGATTATGGTAGAAGGGGAGAAGCAGGCCCTACCCACCAGGGCACGCCTCCATGGAGGCTCAGTTTAGCATCCCCTACTCACCATGCCAATAGTTGCATATGGAGAATTCCTGCCCCCAGGGGCTATAGCAAATCCGGTAGAGGTTAGACCTCATGGAGGTAGGGAACAGCCACTTCAAGTAGTCAGTGTCTGGCAAGAGAACAGCAGTGCCAAGTATCCCGAAACATTTGTGCCCCCCAAACTGAGGGCCCTTTGTAATGCCCACAGTACCCACTCACCTCCATACTGTCCCATCTGTGGAGAGGACAGAGAGATGAAAGAATCCACATTGTGCTCATCCATCACAGATAGCAGTGCCCGGCACACCAGGCCCCCTGTAGGCAGACCACCACAGTGGGTATGGATTTAGGGACAGCAAGGCTAACATCTTCCCCAGTCTGCCTCTCCTGCCACCACAATGTACATAAACAAGACTGAGGTCCGGCGAACGCAGACATGCCCTGCAGACATTTACGTGATTTATCACATCACATCACGTAAATGATAGAGTCAGGGTTAGATTCTGGGTTTTCTGACTCTAACTCTAGGGTGCTTTTTACTGCCCCACTCACTATCTCTTAGGTTCAAGAACCATGGGTAATGGGGAAAGAAGAGGGCAGCAGAGCAGGGGGCCTCCACTCAGGACACACACAGAGATGAGACCCAGGTGCTGAGGGAAGCCAGAAATGGAGCGTTCCGGCACCGCGGTCCTGGCCAGAACAATGTGGTTCAGGAAAAGGGACGGACGTTAAGAAGTGTCCCTCAGGCGAGGATCAATCTAAAGATAGTCCTTAGGATTGGGGCAGGGGAGCACCTACCCTGAGAGTAGCAGATGAGATGCACCCCTTGAGGGGCCTTTGCCATGATGGGGGCCACAGCCTCTCGGAATCCTTGCACTTGTTCCCACAGGGGCCGCAAACTCTCTCTCCCATCGAAGAGATCGAGCACTGTCACCACAGTCCCGGGGTGTGTCTGTGGGAAGGGGTCAATGCTGCAGCTGGGAATAAACACAAAGCCCCCTGGCTGCGCCCACGTTACTATGCCCTGCTAGAACTGGGGATCTCGTTCCCCACCCAACTCTTCCCACGCCAGCACCAGCTCCCAAGGAATCGGGCAGACCCAGAGGGGCGGCTTTCAGTCCGCATTCGCCCTCCCGGAACACTGTAGATGCCTCCAACCGCAGAAGGACCCGTCCTCCGCCAGACCTCATTGATGTATTCCAGCAGGTGGCGGAAGCTGTACGAACTGTCAAAGAGCCCGTGCACCACGATGACTGGCTTGTAGGAAGCACGATGGGGTGCAGGGGCTGCAGGCAGCAAGAGCAGCGCCAGGAAGGACACCAGGAGCAGGATCCCCACAACGGGGAGCCCGGGCCCACGGAGCGCCAGCATGCTGTCGCCTGAGAGGCGGAGATGAGGGCTTGTGAGAGAGATGACAACGCCTCCTCCCCTCGCAACAGACAACAGGGAGTCAAGCCTATCCCGCTTGTGCCCACCGCAGGTCCTTGTCACAAAATATCCAACTTTTTACTCCAATCTTCTCCCCACAACCACACCCCTACCACGTAGACTCGCCCACCCGCAGCGAAACCCCACCCCCAACACCGCAGGGACTGGGTCCCTAGGCCTAGGGTCTTCCTAAAACATCATCCCAGCTGTGCACCACCCAGGGTTTTGCAAGAAACCCCCCTGAGCAGCAGCATAGGTCCCCTAAAGAGTGCAAACTCCAACCTGGCCTGGCTCTGAGAGCCTCCCTCTGCCCGCTGTTTACCTCTTCCTAATCTGATTGGGGGAGGGGGGAGGGGGAGGACAGCACGCGCAGGGGAAAGAGGGAAAGAAGCGGGGAGGTGGCTCAGGTCGAGCTCAGTCGTCACATCCGGGGCTTTCCCTGACAACCGTGCTAGCGTCCCCCGCAACGCAGGCCCCGATAGGAGGAGCAATGGAACTTTCCATTGCGTTCTAGGAGCGGGTAGGGAATAGGCGGAGCGATCCATTTAGATAGTTGAGGAGAGGCAGAAGCTGAAAGAGGTCCTAGCAATAGAGAAAACCTTCGCCCCGGTGAGCAATTGGCCCGCCTCCGCAGCGAAACAAGACGTTCAATTTCCCCAGGGTGGCGCTGGGGGACAGTATTGGGAAAGGCAGTCCGCCACACTGCGTTGTCGCCTGCTGAGGGCTCGAGCCAGTCCAGACGAACCAACCCCACCCCTGCCACTACGCCCCAGGTTAGCCTCTTACAACTCTTGATTCTGAAGTGCGTGTTGTGCCCTTGTCTGCAGAGAAGTGGAGAGTCCTCCTGGCCCCTCGAGCTAAAAGAGCAGCCTGGCCCGGTTTCTCCTGCCCTGCTCTCCTCAGTTCCCCGTAAAGGATCCACCCCCAAGGGGCGGAGGGCCCCTGAGGCAGCCATGACTCAAGCTTGCTAGCTTGATTTAGACCACACTTTCAACAAGAGTAACCCTCACAATCCGGCCCTCAGCAGGGAGCTCCTGTGGGCAGCTCTCCACCCAGACCCCCCGACCCAGTCCAGACTTCCCAAGCTCCCGACATCCCCACCTCTCCACCTGTAACCCCGACCTGATACCCGTAAAGAATTTAGTGAAGAAATAAAAGGACTCACTAAGCCAAGCTGCTAAATTACTAAAGTTAAGTAGGTTGAGGTATGAAGAAATGATTCTATTCTTATTTTAACGTAAACTTTTTTAACTTTCTAGTCCTGTGTAAAATGCCTGCCATATGCATCAGACTTTAAGATAACTTTCTGATTACCCACTGAAGGACTAAGGAAAGAGTACTTAGATATCCAAACCACCTGACATCCAGTATCTAAACCACGGGTCAGCTACAGGATTACCAATCCAGAGGCTAGGGATGCAAAACTGATTGTTCTGAAGAATGTGCTTTTTGCTATAAAAACTCTCAGCTTTTCTTTCTTCTTGGGAACATTCCGGGTATTGCCTAATTGTGTTGTCATTTTGAAAACCCTAAGACCCTTGAATAAATCTTTTAAGTCATTTATTTCTTCGCAGAGCCCCCAGACTCTTAGTGAGTTCGTCGGACGCCAGGTGCCCCAGTTGGAACTTCTACTTAACATTGGAAGACATTTCCCTTGAGAAAAGGACTTCCCAGTTTGTCTGAACCCCACCCCTTTCTCACAAGGTCTTTGTTGGTCTTAAATCTCTCCCAATAAAACCAATTTGAGCTCTGGCTGGTGTGGCTCAATGGACTGAGCACTGGCCTGAGAACCGAGAGGTCGCTGCTTCAATTCCCCATCAGGGCACATGCCTGGGTTGTGGGCCAGGCCCCCATTTGGGGGCGTGCAAGAGGCAACCTACTGATGTATTTCTCACACATTGCTGTTTCCCTCTCTCTTTCTCCTTTCCCCTCTCTCTTAAAATAAATAGATAAAACGTTTTTGTTTGTTTTTTTTAAACCCCCAACTTGTGTAGAATGATTGTGGAGAATGAGGATGAGATGGTGGTGGATGGTTAGGGGCTCACACATACACCATAGAAACCAAAACAAGGGGCTGTGATCTAAATCTCTGCAGCCTGGTATCGGCCCATGGGGGGATCTCTGTACAGCTACCTCGAGTCTCTCTTTAGACACAGAGGGGAAGAACACAGTCTGGGAGAGTGACTGCCTCAGGTAGGAACTGGGAAGTACTAGTCTAAAGGTGGGGGGTAATAATGATTCCCTGACTGTGTCTTTGCAAAAAGTCCAACTCCTATAAGTCTGGGTAGAATGCCCATCTTCTCCATCCCTCTGCATCTATACACTCCCAAGATGGATAAGCTAATAAAAAGACAGCGATTACCGCTGTGCGCCCAGATTGATTTAGGAGGTGGCTTTATGTCTTGGGGGTGAGGGAGGTGGAGGGATTTTTTAAATTTTATTTTTAAATTTCACTTATTGAATTTTTAGAGAGGAAGGGGGAGAGAGAAACATCAATTTGTTGTTCCACTTATTTGTGCATTTGTTGATTCTGTGTGTGTGTGTGTGTGTTTTAAAAAGTGTTTTATTACTAACAGCAGGAGGGATATGCATGGGGTGGTGGATACACTGGGCTCAGGGTATGTGTGGTCCATGAGGAGATGATGATGACTAGGAAGCTGAAAGGAAAGGGGGTTGGTATGGAGGCCAGCTCCCAGGGCTCCTCGGGTGTACTTCCGGGAACGACTAAAGGACTCGTGGCAAGCTACCCCCAGACTGCCAGTAAGATTAAGAAATTCTTGGAACTCTAGCTGCACATCACTGTTCACATCCAATTTCTTCATCCTGTGGTCAAGGATACCGAGGTCCTTTTGGTTCTTTGTGAAGGCAGCCAGTTCTGTATTCATGAAGGTTAGGAACTCAGTCTTGGAAAGTGTAGAGCTGTTACTGTCCTTTCCAGCATACCTCCAGAAAACAGCAGTCAGAGACTCAATGCATCGCTCAGTCTCTGCAGGGCTGGACATTTTTGCCATGTCAGAGTACAGCGAGGTGCGGTGCAACAAGCTCTGGGCTGCGGTGGGTGGGCCGGGCTCTTTGCTGATTCTTGTAGGTCACTGATGTGGGATCAAACTTGCAATGTTGGCACATCAGGATGGTGCTCTAATTAACTGGCATATCCAGCCAGGGTGGGGTGGGGGGATTTAAGAAATGAATCTGAACACTGATGGGACCAGGAATTCTAAGAAGCCCAGTAAACAAAGGGGGGAAGAGGGATCAAGTGCATATTCCCAAATCGAGCTTCCAGAAATGAGCAGTTGATTCATCCCCTCCCTCTCCCAGAGCACTTTAGCTTGTTCACCCAGGTGGAAGAAAGTATCAATGCATCCCCTAAGCTTCCTCTTGGTCCTTCCTGCTCCCACCTCCCAGGCACTGCTTACTCGGAATTATAGACCCGAGCCTCCCAGGTTACCTCCGCATTCACCCCAGGCCAGGGTGGCAGGTCGAGACCATAATCCTGGGAACTTTTCAGGCCATCGCAGGTCTCAACTCTGCACACAGTTCTCTCATACACAGTTGTCTCTCCTCAAGTGGGTTAACTAGGGTCAAGAACTTGGGAGAAGATTCTGGGACCTCGCAAGGGACTTTGAGGGAAGCTGAAGAGGGGAGACCTAAATGGAATGAACCAGATCTTTGGGGAACTGGGGAACTGAATCCACTGAGCACCTGCTCAATCCCCCGTGCAATCTAACCACTACAGCCAGCCTTGGAGGGGAGACTCTAGAGAGTTCTCTCCATCCTTCCTTTCCTTAGTCCCACCCCTCTTGCCTGGTCTTGCTTGCCTCCCTGTTTCCATGACAACTCCAAGGGAGCCCGAACTGGGAGGGGGGGGGTGCTTGACTGTTGGGGTGAGAGGAGGAGAGAAGCGGGGCGAGAGGAGGGGAGGCAAGTAGGGGTACGTCTCAAGCGCTCCTCCACCCCCGCCCCGGTCCCTTTAAGCTCTTCCCCCTCCCTGCTCTCCCTCCATCCCCCCCCCCACCCCCGCTGCTGTCTTCTCTCCATCTCTTGCGCTGCTGCTGGCTGCGCAATCCGTGCACCCGGACTCTGACGCCAGTTGGGGACCGGGACTCCAGCTGCAGGGACCCTGCCCCAGTGAGACCACAAGCATGTCATCGGAAAAGTCAGGTAAAAATCCACAACAAAATCTTCCACCCCCTCCATGGTCTCCTGACTCTCCCCACACCCTCGGCTCCAACCCCCTCCCTTACTCCTCCCTAGCGGGTGGTTTGGTTTCATTCCCCTTCTATCCAGCTCTCAACTACCCCCAAATCCCCCTCCTCTTACTATATCCCTTCCTTTTCTTCCTTTCCTTCTTCCAGTCTCAGCCTCTGCTCCCTGCCAACAACATGGGCAGCAGTGGGGAGGTTGAGGCACTGAGGGAAGTATAGAGTGGCTTAGCATCAGCCAGGTAGTGCGGGGATAGCATCATTGGGAGTGATAGACAGGTGACACTGGCTGGCATGGAGACATCCAGCGGGGAAATATGGAGACACTATCAGATGGGGGTTGTTAGGGGAGTGAAATGCAGCAGATCCTTATCAGCCCTAAAAGAAGTAGTGAGATTCCCAGAGAGGCTAGGGCACCCCCTCACCACTGAAGGAATGGCAGAGTGGAACATGTCACCCTACATGTGCTTACACAATTGTTGAATTGAGCACATGTTAAACAGTGCTGTGTGTCTACTCATGTACACACACAGGACTAGCTCAGCTAGGCAAACCCCAAAGCAGCCATGCGCCAAGGAGGACAGGGGACTGGGTCTGCTGGTGAAAGCTGTGTGCACCTTGCTGTGAAGAACAGAAAGGAGCAATGGAGAGTCGTGACCTCAAAACTAGATTGAAAGACAGAAGGGGGGCACAGACGGCCTAGATACAACCCCTCTCCTGCCCCTAAAATGAGAGGTGGCTTCTCACCCATCTCCTCTGTCTCTCTCATTATCCTTCATCCCTGACCCTCTTCGTCTCCCTCTACCCTTCCTTATCTCTGTCTTATCACTCCCTGTTCCCTCACCTCTGCTCACTGTCCCCAGGCCTCCCGGACTCAGTCCCTCACACCTCGCCGCCACCCTACAATGCCCCCCAGCCGCCGGCCGAACCCCCCGTCCCGCCCCCACAGGCAGCCCCCTCCTCGCACCACCACCACCACCACCACCACCACCACCAGTCCGGCACCGCCACCCTCCCGCGCCTAGGGGCTGGCGGCCTGGCTTCTTCAGGGGCCCCTGCTCAGCGCGGTCCCTCCTCCTCTGCCACTCTGCCACGGCCCCCACACCACGCCCCGCCCGGCCCGGCCTCCGGGGCCCCCCCACCCGGCTGCGCTACCTTGCCCCGCATGCCACCCGACCCTTACCTGCAGGAGACTCGCTTCGAGGGCCCACCGCCCCCACCGCCGCCTGCCGCCGCCGCCCCGCCCCCGCCGGCACCCTCTCACACTGCCCAGGCCCCCGGCTTCGTGGTGCCTACGCACACCGGGACGGTAGGCACGCTGCCGCTGGGGGGCTATGTGGCCCCCGGCTATCCCCTGCAGCTGCAGCCTTGCACTGCCTATGTGCCGGTCTACCCAGTGGGCGCGGTGAGTACGGGGCGGAACTGGGGCCTGGGAGGAGGAGGAGGGCACGATGGAGCAAGACCAGGAACTGGGGACACCTCGGGGACTAGTGGGCTAGAGAAACAGGACCAGGGGACCTGGTGGTCTTCGGTGGTAAGGACTAGATAGAGGAGGGACTAAGGAAAGGCCTGAGAACGGGGAGGGAGGGTGTCCGGCAGTTAGTTGGGGTCAGAGATCACGGCCTGGGAGAGGGAACAACAGATGAAGGGAAAGAACCTGCGATGGAGTAGGGAAGGCCTGGTAGATACCAGAGAGAAGAAACAAGGTCTTAAGTGAGACCAGGGCAGCGCTGGTGGGGCCACACTCTGGGGGAGGGAGTGTGGAGACCCCCGAGGATATAGGGTTAATGACAGCAAGGAAGGGAGCAGAGGGACCGAGGTAGAATTTATGGGTATTCTGGAAGGCTAATGGACGATCAAGTTCTTTGAGAAGTAACGCGCAAGAACTGTGCTTTAAAAACTGCTCTTCCAAAAGGGGAACATTGTGCGGCTCAGAGGGTCCGAGTGACGTTGTTCCCCCACCCCCACCCCCACACCTTCTTTCCACAGCCCTATGCAGGCGGGCCCCCGGCGGGAACAGGAGTAACCTCTACGCTCCCGCCACCGCCCCAGGGTCCCGGGCTGGCCCTGCTGGAGCCGAGGCGCCCGCCACATGACTACATGCCCATCGCAGTGCTGACCACCATCTGCTGCTTCTGGCCTACAGGCATCATCGCCATCTTCAAAGCAGTGCAGGTGTGTGTGGGTGGGGGGCGCGCCTGGGGAGGAGGCTCACTCGATTTTTCTTCCTCCCAGGGAGTGCTGGACGTTCTGGGGAGCATCTTAGAGAAAGGCTGAGGCACAGTTCTCTGGTCCAATTCCCTCCCTTCTCCTTCCCCGCAGGTGCGCACAGCCTTGGCCCGCGGAGACATGGTGTCGGCCGAGATCGCTTCACGCGAAGCCCGGAATTTCTCCTTCATATCCCTGGCGGTGGGCATCGCAGCCATGGTGCTCTGTACCATCCTCACCGTAGTCATCATCATAGCTGCGCAGCACCACGAGAACTACTGGGATCCGTAAGGACGCACCCCGTCCGGCCCCACCCTGCGCCCCTCGACCTCCCAAGCACATTCTGCAATCATGCCGCGGATCCAATGGGCGCCCTGCACACCCGCCCCTGGGGCAACCGGACTTCGATAGGTCCTAAACTCGGACTCCACAGAGCCTCTCGCCTTTTGGGCACGCTCCGAATCCAGTTCCTCAGGAACCCCGCCAAAGCCCACACCCCTAGGACGCCGCTTCCCTGGATCTCAGCCAAATGCCGGCCTCCCGTCGCTCCAGACCCCCAACTCCTCTAAATGCAGCGCCCCCAGCGGAGCTCCCTGGGTGTTTGCTCCGCAGTTTGGAGACCGGTACCCCAAACTCCTCCTCCTCCGTAGGTCGGGCCCCGGCTCTGACAATACCCCGCCTCCAGGGTTCATTAGCTCCTCGCGGGTGATTCAGTGCTGTGATTGGGTTTGTGGCCGCAGGCGGAGTTCCCGGACAGACTCCTCCCCTTCCACTGGCGCAAGATTCCAGCTCTGGGGTAGCCACGATCCCAGGCTCACTCCCAGTTTGTTTTTTCCTTTTTCTCTAGTACAGTTCGCGCATCTCCTTCCCCCAAATCTCCGCTGATTTTCCTGCTAATTCCAGAACTCCTAATTTTGTTTCGTTTTGTTTTGTTACGAGATTTGGGAGGTTCCTAGTTTAGGATCCTACTCCCTGGGATGAAGATTACGCCCCGGTTGTCTGTAAATACTCCATTCCACCTTTCCCAACCCCTGAGCAGCCAGGCAGAAGGGATCCCAGGGTACGGACCTTGTAATGTCCGGAGGGAGCCGGCCCGCTCCCCACTTCCCTAGGCAGTCCCCACTTTATTCTGATCTGTGTGTGAGCGTGTGTGTGTGAATTTCTGAAAGACAATATTAAAGAGTCTAAATCGATTTATTAACTGCAATTCTGAAGACCGAAGCTTTGCAAAGACCCTGATCTTTTGGTTCCCTTTTTCCACTTCCCCTCATTTCTCTTTGGGATGTGGTGGGGGAAGAAAACTGACAGACTAACAGCAGATTTCCAGGACACCAGAGAAACAGACACAAATACAGGGAGAAGGGTTCCTTGGGATACTACCTGGGAGGATCTTGGGATCCACTCTCAGTGGGGATGTCTTTCCCCAACGCACCTTTTCCACTACGTACCACAGTAGACCTAGGGTTTTGGAGAGGGAGAAGATACAAGGAGATCCAGAGATCTATCTGCAGGACTCCAAAAAGTCAGGAGGAAAGAAGAGGTCAGATGATTCTTAAGAAGTTGGTCAGAGATAGGGTGGCAAGGGCAGAGAAAAGATGCCAACTACGCACAGCTGTTCCTCCATGCAGGCTGGAAGGTAGCTGACAACTTGAATTAGAGCCCTAACTGGTGTGTTGTACCAGTATAGGGAAGGCGAAAGGAAAGAGCTGTGGGAGCCCGTCTCAGTCTATGCCAGCTGCTGTAACAAAAATATCACTGACTGGGTGGCTTATATACAACAGTAATTTATTTCTCAGAGTTCTGGAGGCTGGAAGTCTGAGATCAGGGTGCTAGCACAATCAGGTGAGGGAGGGACCTCTTCTGGGTTGCAGCATTCTCATTGTATCTTCACATGGCAGAAGAGGGGAGGGAACTCTGTGTGGTCTCTTCCATAAGAGCACTAATCCCATCATGAGGGCTCACCCTTAGGACCTAATCACCTCCCAAAGATACCACCTCCTAATACCGTCTCTGCACATTAGAATTTTAACATATGAATTTTGGAGGGAACACATTCAGACTACAGCAGAGCCCCAGGGAGGAGGTCTCTGAAATCCTCTTAAATCCATTTGGGGCCTGTTGCCCTCTCTTACCCTGAAGGCCAGTCAAGGGGCCTCTTGGGGAGGGGAGTGGGGTACAGGCAGTGGACTTGGAATCTTCAGTTGTATACCTGCCGAACATGGTCCTATTCTGACTCCATGCATTCAGACAACATGCAGATACTGTGCAGGATGCCGGTGAGGTAATTGCCGAGACAGCAGATGAGAACACTGGCCTCATGGAGTTAATAAACTAGAAGGAAATAGGAGAAATTGGATGGGGTGTGGAAATCTTTGGTTCTCCTTTAATTTTTTATCCTCGCTCAAGGACATTTTTGAGGACTTTTTTGTTTTCATTGCTTTTAGAGAGAGAGGAAGGGAAAGAAAGAAAACATCGATGCGAGAAAGAAGCATCGACTGGTTGCCTCCCATATGCCCCTGGCCTGAGGATCGAATGTGCCAGGACCAGGATCAAACCCACAACCTAGGTATGTGCCCTGACCAGGAATAGAACCTGCAACCCTTCAGTTACAGGACAACGCTCCAACCAACTGAGCCACACCGGCTGGGGCATGGATTCTCCTTTAGACATTTCAGGCTGAATGTGCCTTTCTCACCAAACTTTTTTTTTTTTTTTTTTAAGATTTTATTTATTTATTTTTAGAGAGAGGGGCAGGGAGAGAGAGAGGGAGAGAAACATCAATATGTGCAGTTGCCTCACACACCCCCAACTAGGGACCTGGCCCACAACCCAGGCATGTGCCTCTGAATCGAACCAGCAGTCTATTGATGTGCAGGCCGGCACTGGAATCCACTGAGCCACACCAGCAGGGCATCACCAAACTCCTTGAAAAAAGAATTCATGTTTGCAACCCCCGCTTCCTTACTACCTACTCATTTCCCTCCCTTAAATCAGGGAGTATTATTGTCACAGATGTTTCTGTGTCTGTCTTTCTTTCATACACACTGTTTCTTAACCCTTTGAAATATGCTTCCACTCTGCTCACATAGTACCCAATGACCAGAAGTTACCAGGAGCCAAAATCAATGGAATTTTCCCGAACTCTTTCATGTTTGTCCCTTGACTCTGGATTCCTCACACCCCCAGGGTAAGAGACATGTCACCTCCTTCCCCTAACCTTCATACATACCTCTAATCATCTTCCTCCCCCCTTGTTTTTTTTCTCCTCTCTTCCCCTAAGAGCTTACTCTAGATTTTTTCCTTCTTTGAGACATTCCCTGGAAAATCTCATCCACCCGAAATTCGGACATTATTTCTAATGTTTCTCTGCTATAGACTGATGTTTGTATTACCCCAAAATTCACATGTTGAAACTTGATCCCCAATGTGACAATGGTGCATTGAGGTGTGTTAGGTCATGAGGATGTACTGTCATAAATGGAATTAGTACCCTTATAAAAGAGACTTCAGAGAACTCCCTTCCCCCTTCCCCCATGTAAGGGCATAGTTAGAAGAGCCATTAATGAACCAGAAGTGGTTGTCAGCAGACACTGAATCTGTTGGTCCCTTGATCTTGGACTTTCTAGCCACCAGAACTCTGAGAAATAAATGTCTGTTGTTTACAAGCCACACAGTTTATAGCATTTTGTTACAACAGCCTGACTTTACTAAGACATTATCCAACCTATATATCTATACGCAAACGTTCTTCCAGGGCCTATGGAACACATCCACATGGACCATGCTTGTTGGTCCTCTAAACTCAGCAAATTCCAAACCAGACTGATGAAATGCTACTGGAAACCTGCTTCCCTCTCTCTATTAATGGCACTATTTCCCCAGCACGTTTATCTGAAAATTTGATGCCTTCTCCATCTCCCTCCTGCCTTTACTTTCGGTTTGCTGACAAGCTGAGTCAATTCTACCACCACAGTATCTTTTGAGTCTACAACTTTTCCCCAGCCCTTGCCGGAAAAATGATCTCACATAGGATTATTGCAACAGCTCTCCTAACAGTTGCCCCTACTTCCTACATCTACCTACTCTAAGTTCCCTTTCACACAGCTATCAGGTTATTGTCCCTACACCCATTTTATAAGCCCACTGCTCAACAGGCCTGCAAAATTCCCTTTTGCTTACTCAATTATTTACAAAATTTTAATCTGGTCCTTAACACCCTCCATAATTTAAAATCATTCAGCTTTCTCTCTTCAGCCTAATCTCCAACCAAACTGAATTACTTATCATTTCTACCTCCATGTCTTTACCCAGCTGTCCTCAAATCTTAGACCTCTTTCTCCAACATCTGTCTCTTATAAACCAAATCATTTTCTGCTTACTATGTGTTTCAGATCACATCTAAGCCTGCTCAGGATGTTCTTTCCAAATTTCACGTCTGCAGCTCCAGTCTGCTAAAATTTACCTTTTCTTCAAGGCCTAGATCAGTTCAGCCCCTCAACTCCAGCAAGAAGGAATCTCTCTCTTCTACAGGTTGGACTAGAGCAATGGGTTTCTAAACAGAGCTGCAGCATTCCTTGAAGCAATGGTTCTCAGCCCTGCTTACACATTAGATTCACCCAGGGAGCATTTAAAAATCCCAAAGCCTTGTTTGCGTATAGACCGATTAAATCTCTGTGGGCAGTACTCAGGCATCACTATTTTTAAAGACATCCCCAGACGATTCTCATGGCCAGCCAAGGCTGGGAATCACTTCAGGGGCCACGAACAGGGAGGGGAGAGGACAAAAGGTGTGGCTTCAAGCAGAGTAACTTTCTCTAGGAGAAAGGTACCAGGTCTAAAACCTACCCATAATTGACATTATCTGCATTTTCCCCCAGCTCTTCCCCTCTGAGATCTTGACGTACTCACCTTACCATATGAATGCAAGAAGCAGACGTGGTTTATCACTGGTTTTCAGATCCTTTCAGATAAAACCTCTTTGGACTCCATTGAACTGAAAGGAATTAGGCAGAGAAAAAAGTGATTGCAAATTACTTCTCCCAGATCTCTTCACCTCACTCTGACTCCTCTCTCAGGAAGCCTGTCCCAATTTGAGTCTCCTTCCACCTTACCTCAACCCCCTCCCAACATGTTGCCCTTGGCTCTTGAACCCTAACAACAAAGATTTTGTCCCCCAGGAGAGGCTCTGACCCCTTCTACTTACAGCTCTGATTTCCCCATGATTCCATTCAGGGGGATTCCATTCCAATCCTTCTTCATTCGTGAAGATTCAGTACCTACAATGTTGTTTCTCCCCTCTCCCCAGCCACTCACTCCCTGGGTCAAATCTCTGACTTGGTTGTTACCAATGACTGCCACACTTTCAAAAACCTCTTCAGTCATTTCATGTCACCACCTCCTCTGGCCAGGACTCTCAACCCCAAAATTTGTCAGCCCCACCGAGACCTCCCATCCGATTACTCTCTCACTTCTTTGATGTTTGATCCCCTCAGTTTCTCACTTCCCTCATTACCCAGTGCAGGACCCCAGGCCCAACAATATAATCACCTCCCAGCCCTGTCCCTCACCACCCAACACATTTTATTCCTGGTTAAATCCAATTCTGCCTGCTCCACACTTGCGCCCAACAGCTAAATACATCTTGGGGGAAAACACAGTCATAGTCACTGGTCTCACGTCCTGTGGGCCTTCGGTATGGACTGCCAGCCCTCATTTCCACATTGGGTCATAGTCCCCAAATCTGAGACCATAATTTCACAAGATGACAACGTTTCTTTTTATTTCAGTGAGAAAACAGAAACTTTGAGAACTTCTTCATGGTCTCATCCCCAAATTTACCATGCCATTGCATCTCTGCCATATTCACTGCCATCCCCTCATTACTGCAGAGTAGCTGACCTGCTCCCAGCTTCACCCATTTGTGCACTGGGATCCCGTCCCTTCTCACCTGGTCAGAAACAGACTCTTGAAATTATTCCCTATCTCTCCCACATAATCTGTTTTCCCCTCTTTACTAAAACATTTCCATAATCATACAAACACACTATAATAATATAACTTGTCTTTGAGAAGAAAAAAGAAAATTCACTTTCTACTCGCCTAGTAGTAAAAGCACAACATTCAGAAGAGCGGTTATCCTCGGTGGGAGGGGACTTCTGATGGAGAGGGAGACACAGGGAAGGAGCTCCAACAATAG